AGGCCCCTGGAGGTCTCAGGCCCCAGGTGGGATGAGGACACCCTGGCCTGCAGCTTCCTGCCTCCAGACCCAGGTGGTACCTCCACCACTCACTGAGCTCTGTCTAGGCTCAGTCCTGTAGGAGCACAGGGTTTGGCTGACCCTGGCTGGGCCCAACCCCATGGGTCACCAGCACTCACGTGCTGAAGCAGGAGGGCTACTGTCGTCCCCTGGGGGCAGGCCCAGGAGGCCTGGGCCCAGCCATGCCCCCAGGACCCCCAGAGCAGCAGGGCCAGGCCTCCACTCCACTCCCATCAGACCTCTCTCTGGGTGGGGGCGGAGTCTCAAACCTTCTAACACCAGCTTCCTTAAAGCTAAGGACAAGCGTGTTTCCCTGCTGTTTGCCATCGGCTGTTCTCCAGGTGACTGTGGGGAGGTGACTGGAGCCCAAACGGCAGACGAGGGTTGCCTGCAGCAGCCAGCCCACAGGGCAGACAGGTCAGGAGAGTCCGGAGCTGGCTCCAGGTAGTGTCTGAGCATATGGTCTGTCTCCATCGTTGGGAGACACGACCCAGCAAGAGGCAAGACTCAGAGCCCAGGGGTGGAGGCAGGGGTGGGACCGCGGCAGGCCCAGCACAGGTGCCCAGGGCTGCCCACGGTGGTGACTAGCTGCTTCTGGGACCTGTCCAAAGCTCCTTCACACACGCTCCTCTTCATGAGACTCACCCCAGTGGGGCTCCGAAGAGCATGCATGTGCAGGGCAGGTTATGCTCCAGGTGGACAGACTGCCTGTGGGGCCGATCACGGAGGGCCCGCACACCCAGCAGCCAGCATGACCTGTCCACGGAGGGACCGGGGTGTCCGGAAGTGAACATTTCAGGGCTGAGACAGGACACAGAATGCCAAGAGCAGGGCAAGTCCGGGAGACTGTGGCCGAGGACATAGGCTCCCAGGGCCCAAGCTGGACTCAGCACAGCTCAAGGGACAGAAGAAACACCCACAGGTCCACTGAGAAATACAATTCTGAGTAACAGCACACACCCACCCTCCACGGAGGCCACCCAAGACTCCCACCTGCAAGCGTGGGCCACTCAGTGACCCGAGCTACCCGGCCACCTCAGTCAGGGCCCTTAGGTCACGTTGGTGCTACGTGCTGTGGACAGGACAGGTGCACCTCTGTGGTCCCCCCGGAAACACACAAGACCCAGCTAGTGATAAGAAACATCAGACAGATCCCAACAGAAGGCCACTCCACAGGACGCCCGGGCCATCCTCCGAACTGCCAGGCCCAGGTGAGCCTGCGGAGCTTGGATGAGATGTCATGGGGGACCCGGGGCGGGAAAGGACATCACGAGGAAAGGGAGGAATCTGAGTCGGGGTGGGTTCAGCCATGAACCACGGGCCTGCACAGGGCAGCAGCTGAGGGAAGGAGCCAGGGCAACCAGGGTGTTAGCTGTCAGGGGCCATGCAGAGGCAGCTCTCTGCACTCTTGCAGGTTCCATGCAGACGTAAACTGTTCTTTTTTTTTGGAAAGGTTTTTGTTATCGGGCACATGTGCTTGCCAGAAAGACAGATATAGAGAGACAGAAAGCGAGAAATCAGCCCTTGCGGGGATGACCACGCCACAATCCCTTCTCCATTCTCCTCTCGGGATCTTGGGCACGCACACACACGCGCCCAGTGTGAGTCTAGGCCACGGGGACTCAAACCACAGTCGGCTAAATGGGAGTCCAGAGATGTAGCCATTACACCAATTGCTAGTCCTCTAAACTGTTCTTAAGTAGTTTTGTTTTGTTTTTTAGGTTTTTACCCAAAGGTACATGTGCTCACTGGAGAAAGAGAGAGAAAAAGAGAAAAGTGAGAGATCTCCCAGGAGGTACGGCTACATGCAATCCCACTTCTCCATTCCTCTTGAGATTTTGGGCATGGACACACATGTGGCTGGAATGATTTTTAAGCTAGTAGGCCCAGGACTCAAACCACAGTTATTCATGTGGGAGTCCAGCGCCTGAACCACCAAGCCACCTGCTGGTCCTAAACAGTTTATTTTTAAAGAACCAAACATGCTCACTCTCTATATATATTAGAATTATTTTGTTTACCTTTATTTTATTTATTTAGCTAGTTTAATTTGACCAGAGAGGGAAAGA